GTTTTTCATTCGCACAGCTGGGCTGTCCCCTGCAGGCTTTCTTCTGCCTGCCCAACTTGTGACGTTTTCCTGGCTCCAGCAAAGTTCTGGGGTTGTTACAAACAGTGCTTGAGGGGACAGAGGATTGTCTAAATTAAAACAACAACAACAAAACTAGGTCGATCTTGCAAGAATCCGGATGGGTGGTCATCCCACACAAACACAGTATGATCTTTCTCTCTCTTTCTCTCCCTCCCACCATTAAACAGGAATGATATCATCATTTTGAGAATGAGTTAACCTAAGGTTTTGGCTATGGCCAAAGGTCTATTTAATGGTCAGTGTGGCAAAGATACCTGGAACTCTTCCTTTCCTGTCATTATTCCCAGGGATCTAATTGCTTTATGTTCAAAGAGTTACACAGTTAAAAAAATATATACACTCAATCCTATATATAAAGCTGAATTAATAAACTGCTTCTCCATGCAGTTTTGACAAAAATTGGGGAAATAAAGTCTCAATTAGTTTGAACAGGGTGGAATGATACATTTCATTTTGTTTTGCTCATTAGGCTACGATTTGTTATTGTTTGCATGGTGGGTTTCTGCTTATGATTCCAGTTCACACTGACAAAAAACGAACAGAAAACTGTTGTCAAGAAATGGAATGAGGCAGAGTTACAGCTCAGCCAGGGCTGCCAGCAGTGCCTTTCCAACAGCTGCAGTGGGACATGTTGACGTTGGAAAGAGATGTGGCCACATTTGTTCTTCTAAGCTCTGTATTCAGCACAGAGGTCACCAGGGAGCAGCCTTGTCTGTGTGGGTACTAACCCTTCACCGTGATGCTCCCTCAGTCACTACATCTCACAATGAGGCCTGAAACCAAAGCAGGGCTCAACATCCTCAAAGTCTCTGTCATCAACCCACGGTGTACTTCTAGAAGTTACTTAATGTCTCTTCCTTATCTCATCGCTAAAATTGTAAATAATGACTCCAAACTAACACAGTGGAAATGGTTTTCAAAACTTTTATATGAAAAATAAATGCTGATTTCTGATAGACTTCATTTTCAAGCCGTATCCAATGTGTTCCCTCTTTTTTTAGTTCGTGTCGTGGTTGTGATGCTCTCTAGCACAGCTATTTGTAGAAACCACTCTATTTTTAGACTAGAAAGGGGGCGAGACAAACGTCTGTGATTTTTGGCCTCATCACGGACAGACCTCATACATTCTTAATTTATGACTAATCATCTGCTGTTATTAAGTGTCCTAAATTAATTTCCTTCCTAATTGTGACTAGGGCTGGCTAATGAATGATTGTGGGTACTAACAACATTGCATTCCCAAATCAGTTTAGCAAATTTTTAGCAGTCAGAGAATGCAGGTCTCATTCTGGTTCTTTCCACATAGACTGTCACTGAGCTTCACGCACCACAGTTATCTATCTAGTCTCCTCACCTAAAGGTCAAGTAAGCACAGCCATGAAAATCCACTACTATTAATTGCTATAGTAAGAAACATACCAGCTATTTTTTAACTTGTAGAACAATTACCAGGTAAGTGTATTATAGGTGATATTAAATGCAAACTTTGATTAAGCTTCCCAAACTCACCTTTCTTTTCCACAAGACTATCATCAAGTGGGACCAAGTAACAGCTTTTGGAGAACAAAGTGAATGGGAAATAAAGACCTTTCTTGTGAAAGTTTCTGAATGGCAGATTTATTAATGTGTATTATTCCCTCAGGAGTTTGTTCACTGTCATGGCCATCCCCTCTTCGAAGTCTTCCATTGTTGCTGTGAGTCATGTCCCTGCCTCTCTGGCTTTGACTCTTTCTCTCTTTCTCTCTCTTTCCTTTACTTTCTTACTATGTCAATTTCTAGATACTTTAAAGGGATTAATATAGAAAAGTAAAAACAAAACAACAATGAAATGACAAGCTGCAGAGCCCTCATGTGTTGAAATACCTTGTTTAGAATTCTTTACTGAAAAACCTCGCATAGATGCTGAAATGTGAATTGTTATTAATAGGATATCCATATTCCCTCATGTTTTGTTTTCTTGATAATGGTCAGACACAAGCTTTTTGCCTGAGTATATGCCTGAGTACCTCTGTGTGAGGACGCTGATTTTGGAAGACAAAGCATGTCTCCAAATATCACTTTCTTCTCTCAAATTTGCTTCTTTCAACTTATTTCATCTTCTCTGCTCTATATACGTACATGTCTTATATATAGATTATTGGAGCCAAAAGTTTCCTAAACCTAAGAGAAGCCATATGTGTGCATGTAAATTATTAAAATTTCCAAAATATTCCCTCTAGAGTTTACATTTGGGCATTCAATACCAAGTACATAATATTTATAAAATTTCATATTTAAAATCCTAAATGCTTTCTTCACCTGTATCATTTTTACTTCAAACTAATTAAAAGACATATAAAAGTATAATAAAACTATATGTTCACTAATTTATTTAGTTTTAGATAAAATGAACTTTCTGTCGCCCAATTTAAAATGAGACTACCTTGTGTACCACTTTTTCTAACATCATCTACATTAATTATTGACCATCTCAATATTTTCAGCTCTCACTGAAGATGGGACAAAGATGATGCACCTTCTACCATTCTGTACATAAATAAACCACCCTTAACAAACAACCTTGGGTAACATGTAGTCTACCTTTTTAGGAATGGAACCAAGTATCACTCTATATTCAGAATCATTTGAGGGTTTGTTGTTAGAGTTGTAAATAGCACATGATGTTTTAGGTGGCACATGTTTATTTCCGTTGAAAGGACATGCCCTACTTTTGAGGAAGGAAAGACTTGTAAGACATCAAATGTTTCTTGCAAAACAACTTGATGAAATAAATGTAATAAATGAAATAAATGTAAATGAATCAGAAACATGTGATTGTGCTTCAATTAAAATGAATGGGTTTAAACATGACGGGAGTCCAGTGCTTGAGGGAAAGAGTGTGGCAAGGCGGGAAGTGGCATTTGTTTTGTTCTCATCAGACTCCGGTTTTCGAAAAACAGCCTACTACTGTGAAAGCAACTTCGTTCAGATTCTCCAAAGTCGATTAACGGAAGTGAAAAGGGGAATAATAACACACAGATCTATCTTACAGCTTTATCTGCCTCCAATTACAATGCGTGCATAGCCACTGTGCAATCCTCTCAAAGCATTTTGAAACTGAAGTTTGCTGTTTTTCAATGTATGTCTTCCAACTGTAAACAAGACTGTAATGATTCTAAAATAAATTGTTTGAGATTCACATACAAACTTCATCTTTACTTCCTCTTTCTAACTGAAGGTGATCAGAGGTAAATGGAAACACGTGGTGTGGTGACCTAATGTATCCACACATGTGCAAACCCACAGGATGAGCATGGAGAGAGAGCAGAGAGAGAGAGAGAGAGAGAGAGAGAGAGAGAGAGAGAGAGAAGCAGTGCTGTGGGGTTGGGGCATGAGGTGAGATTTCATAAGTGCAATACCCAAAACGAACCAATTATTTTAGATCTACAAAGATTTTATCAATAGTCTCATCCTCACATCATTTATGCAAACTTTAAAACAAAAATAGAGCACTCAAAATATACTTTGTATTTTTTGGTTAAATTTTATGTATGACTGAAAAATCAGAAAAAAAATATCAACTTTCAAAGAAAAGAAGGGTAGGCATGGTGATGCTTACCCATAATCCCAGTATGTGGGAGGCAGACGCATGAAGATTGTCACAAGTTCAAGACCAGTGTAATCTACACAGTGCGTTCCAAGCAAACAGGGGTAACATAATGAGATTTCCCCCACACACACACAAAAACTGAAACAAAACAAATAAAAACAGCAACAAAACAAAACAATTTGTCTCGTTCTAAATACAACTGTGCTGCGTGATGTGGCAGCTCAGTTTCTCTAACTAGGGACATGTTGAAAGGAAAGTTGAACACAACTGGGATATCACTTTTATTTTTGAGTTACTATCTATCACAGCCAAAGCAGCTTTCAGGGCATGCTGCTTAGTGGAGAATAAAAGTGTGAGTGTGTTCTCGGAAGAGAAGATGTGGATGCTGTAGGGATGCTGTGCGTGAGGAGAGCTCTTTTGGCTGTGTGAGAACTGTGGAGTCAAGCACAGCACAGCCTCTCTCTGACCACTTGCTACTCTTTCGTTACTCTGTGAATGAGGTAGGGATGAGGGCACCATTCTTTGGTTTATTTGTGACTGACGGTGGTTTGCTTATCCAACTATTCTGGAAGAGTTTCTCCCTACCGTTTCACAGGCAGAGAGTGTGAGAAGTTTCTCTTAAAAATATTGGCTCTGTAAGTGGGCAGGTGATACGTGTTAGCGTCTAGCACAATCCTTTATTCAATTCCTCATCCTTCAATGACATGGAAAGCAGAGTGGTGAGGACTAGTGCTCCCTGTGTTCTTCCATTAGTGGCAATACGACAGCTAAGCTTTTTCTGTGCCCCTAAAGTCATTCTTATGGGTACTGAGGTGTAAATCCTCACTCCAATGTTGGGCAGTGATATGTGACTCGATTCCATTTTAAGACTGTGCTGTCAATTTCATCTTTGTCACCACCAAAAGTCAGTACTGGACCAGAGAGATGGCTCAGCAGTTAATAGCTGGCTGCTCTTGCAGAAGACCTGGGTTCGAGTCCCAGTACCCACATGTTGGCTAACAACTATCCATTATTCCAGTTCCAGGGGATCCTACACCCTTTTCTGTCCTCCATGCGCATTACATGGCATGGGTGCACTTACATACATGCAGGCAATACACTCATACACATAAAAGATGAATAAAATTTTAAAAATTTAAATAAGAAAGTCAATTTCTAAAGTCTTCAGTTAAGGGTCACCTTGGAGGATCAACGTTCAGAAGGTTACACAGTGATGTATTAATTCAAGCACAACTGTGACTTGTTTCCTTCAAGGTTTGCCATCATAATGTCCTCTTGGTGTAACAGGACCTCACCTACTGCTCACCTGCACTTTTCAATTTGATGGCAGGCCTATCCTTGCAGCAGTGATAAGGAATGTGAAGTTGGAAGATACTGCCATAGTCCGCACCAAGGATCATCAGCTTGCATGGTGTGTCGAAGGAAAAAGAAGCGTTGCCATAGAGATGGCATGTGTTGCGCTGGTACCCGCTGCAATAACGGTAAGACACCTCACAGGTACTCGCAGGCCTCTTTGACTTGCTAAGCCTGCCTTGAAAGCTAGCTTAACTTCTCCTTATGCAGGCTCCTGAGATACAGTTCATCTTTTAGGACTGGGAAGGATTGGATCATGGTTTAAGTAATATGAGATTACCTGGGTCACCTCCCAAACTTTAAGTTTCCTGGACTCTGACCACACTCTAGACTTTATGCTTTATACTGATAGAGGATATTGCAAAGTTGAAGTGTTGTGTGCAAAAGCACTGGTTAGTTACTCTGTTCTGCTAAACACCTGAATGAATGCATGCAAAGAGCCAAAGCAAAGAAACTGCTGAGTCCTTCACCCAGGTCCAGAGCAGCTTTGCATTCCAGTTCATATGTTTGAAATGTGCCTGGGTACCCTTACTTGGTAAGGGAGTGATTGGTCTTCCAAATACAGACAAAGGATTCAACCCTCTAGCCTGGCTGTGCCCAACCCCAGTGAATTGCAGGTAGACATTTATTCAGCAGTAATGAAATGAAAAATCACAGGCAACACATGATTAAATAACTTCAGAAGGGAGTTAGTAATCCCAGCACTTGAGAGGAGAGGCTGAGGGACCTCTGTGAGTTCAAGGGCAGCCTGGTCTTCATAGTAAGTTGCAGGCAAGCTGGGGCTACAGGAAGACCTTATCTGAAAAAGACACCTCCCCCCAAAAGTAGAAGCATAAGCTTAATCATAAAATGACTTAACCAGGCCCATATTGTTATGCCTGCTCTGGCCTGGAGGCACAGACTTGCTGTGGGTACCGTGAAGAGGTGTTGAAAGAAAGAAGACCTCATGCCATTAGTGAAGTGCACTGTGTGGACTGAGACTGTATTGCTCATGAACAAAAGAACCCTGGATCCTGAGGATGTCTTGTCAAATGACTTTAGAACACAGTAGTGAACACTGATTTATTTCTTCACTATGCCACTGTTCTAAGTACTGTGTATATCTGCAATAGTCAAATGAGAGCAATTCTGTTTTTATTCCTACTTTCTAGTTTGCCCAAGGTCACTTGATCCTGAAAGAGGCAAAATTTAGATCTAAGAAGCTTGACTACAGAGCCAAAGTACGTTATACTCAATAAATAAATAAATAAATGGATACACTAACAGATAAAAGATAAGCAGTAGGCAGATTACGAAGCAGTCAGTTAATGTCTCATACTTCACAGCCAAATAAATATGACCGTTTAGAGTCAAACTGATGTGTTTTCATCCTCACTCCCAGGCATCTGCATCCCAGTCACTGAGAGCATCCTGACCGCTCACATCCCAGCCCTGGATGGCACTCGGCACCGAGATCGAAACCACGGTCACTATTCAAATCATGACTTGGAATGGCAGAATTTAGGAAGGTCGCACACCAAAATGTCTCATATAAAAGGTAGGGTTACCTGTACGTGTGTGTTTATTCTTTCTTTCCTTTATAAAGAAGTAAAAGAAAACATAATTCTGTTGGGCTTGTAAAACATTACCAAAAGTTACTTTAATGGAAAATTTTAAACTGAATTAGGTAGGGATTTTAGAGAATTTTTAGAAAATATACATTACAAGAAAGACAGAAGTCTGACCTGCCATGACATTTTCTAAGCAAATCTTTCATATGAAATTTAGAATAAATCTTCTGTACAGACAGGTCTGTTACAAACCTTTCAAAGGATAAAGCACTGAAAAACCAATGAGAAATCCTTGTGGCAGATGATTAAATCGCTAAGCTCTCGAGTCATTTCTTCACCTTTTGAGATTTGGAACTTTTATTTCGCTAATGAAGCAGATGATATGTTATTCATAAACCACTCTGTGAAAAATAATTGGTTTATAGTGGGGTTATGCATGACCAGACAATCCCTTTCTTCATATCTAAATATTTCAGAATCCTCCTAATTACTAATAACCAACTTGGAAAACATCAAGGCCTTTTACTAATAGCAAAAATTTGAAAGCCTTTAACGTTTGAAGGAAGCTTTTCTCAAGCATTTGTGAGGTATTCCTCTTCCTCTGTGAAAAATAATTGGTTTATAGTGGGGTTATGCATGACCAGACAATCCCTTTCTTCATATCTAAATATTTCAGAATCCTCCTAATTACTAATAACCAACTTGGAAAACATCAAGGCCTTTTACTAATAGCAAAAATTTGAAAGCCTTTAACGTTTGAAGGAAGCTTTTCTCAAGCATTTGTGAGGTATTCCTCTTCCATGGTGTATGTGATTAAAAGTGCCCACTGTTTAAAAGAATTCTGGAAGAATGCATCTTCCCATTTTTGGAAATCTATGATATGCATGGGTACACTGAGGTGTACTGAGAAGTCCTGATCTGAAAACCTAGTGTCCCTTTTAAAAAATGTTATTGCCATAGCTTGCCTGAACTCAAGGCATTTTCTCACATTTTCTGAAGATCCTGTTCCCTAAAGATGCAACCTTTAGCCTGGACTGTTACTGGTCACATGGACAGTGCTAAAGACATTCACAAATCACTCTTCTTTTCTTGTCATTTTCCTGTACTTACCAATGTCCTGAATTATTTTACATCCCTCTTTTTTTATTATCTTTATTTTATGTATATGCGTGTATATATGCATGTAGGTAAGTGCACCCATAGCGTGCAATGCCCGCGGAGGACAGAAGAGACTATTGGATCCTCTGGAACTGGAGTTGTTAGCTGCCATGTGGGCGCTGGGATTCCAACCCAGGTTTTCTGTAAGAACAGTCAGTGTTCTTAACCACTGAGCAATCTCTCCAGCCCCGTATCTCTTATCCATCAAAATCATATATATCATATATAATTGCCGTTGCATGAGAGTCTTTTCATTCCAACCAGATATCTATGTCTCAGCACTGTTCAAAGTCTACTAATTATTTTATCTAATTATATATGATTTTTTTCTTACAGAAAATAGAAAGAAATCTTACGTCAGATGGCTAATGAGTTGTAGCAAATCTCACAATGGAATTAGCTACCTCTCGGTGATAGATAATCCTTTAAACCCAAGGTGGACACACTATTGCCTGTGAGCCTAATCTGTCAACACCAGATTGTCTAAAATAATGCTTTGTAAAAGCACAGACTTACCCATTCACTTAGGCCTTATCTGTCACTAATTTTTACAGTGTTGTAGAACTGAGGAGCTGTAGCAGATCATTTAGTCTTGAAACCTGGATATATTTGACATTTTGTATTTAACAGAAAAGCTGGACAACCAATCCCTGATTTATATTGGAACACATTTCAACCTAGCCACAATGGGTGGAGGCCATTTGCTGACTTGATCTTTTTGTTTGTACCCCACATACCCAACATTATGATTCCACATACATTTAAATATGTTGTTGGCTGCCCCTGAGCGTATTGGCTATGAATGAGCCTAGCTGCCCTCTTTCTGCTCTGTTCTGGCCCACAGCTTCTTAAAGGATCCATTTCCTGCCCCCTCTACTCCCTTTTTAATGCATCCAGTTGGGTGTAGACAGGTTCCCACTGCCTCAGTTGGTGTTTCTGGCATGACTGTGTCTCCTTGAGGCTTCAGCTCCTGCCAGATGTGGTTATTGGGTCCTGGCTAGTGGACCCAACACCTGAATGTTGGCATCACATACACCTTGGGGTCCGCCAGCCTATATATGGTAGTGGCTTCCAGCAGCTGATCACTCCCCTCTGGCAATTCTTAGTTTCACCACTACACATTTGACCAATTCTCTGCATTAAATACCTGCTGTTGTGAATACTCAGAATTTCTCCTTTCCAGTAGTGCTCAACTGAAACATGGTCTTAGGACTCCCTGAGAATTTCAGTCTTTTTGAATCAGGGCTTTGTTTAGGCCTGTTAAAAATTCATCAAATTAATTAGTTTGAAATCAGTCTTTTATTTTTTTTGTTTTCCCCATAGGGGGGAAAAATCAGAGAACTATCTAAAGTTATACTACAGGCTGTGGGGATGACTAAGTGGTTAACCTGCTCCCATGAAGGCATGGCAGGACTTCCAATCCCCAGAGCACTTATGGATGTGGGGTGAGAGTGGCAGCCCACTTGTCCAGCCTCAATTCCAGCCTCAGAAGGATGAGACAGGGGACTCCCAGAGCATGCTAGATAGCAAGTCTAGCCATCTTGGCTAGCTCTAGGTTTGACGGAGAGACCCTGCCTCAGTGAATAAGGTGCAAGGGAAAGGAAGATGGCGCCCTCCACATAAACCTCAGTCTTGTACCTGCTCTTCCGTGCACCTGTGTGCACACCCATACACATGCAAAATGTGCATACAACATATGCATATGAAAATAGAAAAAGTGTACTGTGACAAAGTAAACATAAAGCACAGTCCAGCTGTTCATTAAGCTCCATATTCAGATGATTAAAGAGAGAGAGCCTATTCTTTTGCATCCAAGGCTTTTCATTATCAGTGGCAACGTCGTATAAGATAACATAAGTCATTCTGACTGCAAAGTAGAAATGGTTCTAAAGCGTCATTATGACGTCTTTTGGCCATGTTTTCTTTAGGACATGAAGGAGACCCCTGCCTGCGATCATCAGACTGCACTGATGGGTTTTGCTGTGCTCGCCATTTCTGGACCAAAATCTGCAAACCAGTACTCCATCAGGGGGAAGTTTGTACCAAGCAGCGCAAGAAGGGCTCTCATGGACTAGAGATTTTTCAGCGGTGTGACTGTGCGAAGGGCCTATCCTGCAAAGTATGGAAGGATGCTACCTACTCTTCCAAAGCCAGACTCCATGTGTGTCAGAAAATCTGATGAGCACGGGGGGAAATTCAACACGAGCAGACTGTGAACTTGTGTATTTAATGCATTATGGCATGATGGAAAATAATGTTTGGAGTGCAGGAGTGAGGGAGGTGGTAAGGGTGCGGAGCACAGAAAGGAAGAAAAGCAGAACCGGATGGAGCAGTTAGTGATGGCGGAAGCACAACCAGTGTTTCCATTATGCAACTCGTTTATGTAAATAATGTACACATTTGTGAAAATGCTGTTATTAAAAGAAAGCACAGAGTGGACATTGTTGACGAATACCACCCGACTTTCCAAGAGTTTAATTTGTGCTGAAGGAGACATTTCCTTCAGATTGGGGATGGCCTATAAAAATAATGTAAAAGCCATATTTCTATTCAAAGTTGAAAACAAGCAACATGGTTAATTTGCATCATCACAAAGTCATCTTTTAGTTAGGAACTCTGACTACCTTTTTTACAAGAAAAAACGGACAATATTTGCCAAGTCTTTTCAAGATAGCCACTAGAAAAAAGGTCAATTTGCTTCTCTTCAAAGTGCTCATTTTCCCAGAATTTAATTTCACCTATAGTTAATAAAGATATATATATAGATATATATATATATATATATGCCAAAACATCTTT